TTTCACAATATTGTATTGTAATAGCCCATTAGTGGCATCAAAGCCCTCTCCCTCAAACAAGTTCAAACCCAAACACCATGGACGACAAAACCCTTTTAATCAGCTTAAGCAAAACTATCACCGCAACTCCTGTAGCCATTGTCACTCCAATACCCATGACCACTGCAACTGGAAATCCGAATATTAATATCATTACCTTCAATGTTGTTGTTTAATTTCTAGTGAAACTTATCGCTAGCAACTACATAAGTTGGAACAAACAGTTTATCTCATTACTCAAAGTCTACAAATTGTATGATTTTTTGCTGGAATAAAGGCAGTGTCTAACCAAATACAACATTCTAGATTCACCTTATGATGTGTGGGTAAGATAAAATTAGTCTCTTCAACATGCAATTATGACTTCAATTGTAGAATCCATTCAATATGCAACCTGATTTTTTCAATTTATATTTTAGGGAGCGAGCAAACTACTCGAGATTAATTACTCATACTTATGGCTAAGGCAGCAACTAGAGTTTGCACTTATGCTATATGTCATCGGTTACTCGCTGGTGTCCTGTTGGGATAGGAAATGAAGCAAAGCCAGACTCAGGCATTCGTTATATCCACAGTGTGCCTTGAATTACTTGAAGTTGAAGTTTATCTTTAAATAAGTAGAGTGTTGACATCTCTGATCAACGTACTGACACTGCAGGAGAGAAAAATATAAGACAGTGACCGAAAAAGTTCCGAACCCTTCATCTAAGTTCTGGAAGTGTCGCACTTTGGCGCGAAATTGGATCATTTTTCTCTTTTTTTCCTAATTTAGAATTCCCAAGTCAATTTAGAATTTCAAGAAGAGGGACTCAATCTGAAAGATGTTGTGGAATTTTAGTTAGATTGAATCCTCTAACTCTTAAAAATAACTTTGTGACTCGAATGATAATATATAATAATTTTTATAAGAATTTGAATTTTATACTTTAGTAAAAATTCAAAATTTTATTTTAATTTTATATAAATATGTACTATTAACAAATTTAAGATATGGTAGCAGAGACGCACCTATAATGTGGAAATTCCACCCCCATGAGGTAATTAAGTGGTAAACAAAAAAGAGATAGGGAGATCTTAAAGTGGAAAGCCTAAAAAGACAAAAGAGATTTTAAGGACAATATTAAGAGTACTTGAAAAAAATTGAGAGGCATTTGCTTCCTAATATTTCTTTGTTGAAGATTTTTATAGTTAAATTGATATTTTACTTTTTTTTGTTATTATTATTCGTTTGCATAATTCTTTAATGGGAGAAATTCCAAACCATTGGTATCATGAGGAGGGAATTTTATTCCATAGGGTGGTCTAAGAGATCGGAGGAGGAATTTCTTAATTCCCAACAGAGCAGACATCAACGGTAACTAAACTCAAGTCAACAACGTCAACGCTTCCTCAGAACAGTGGAAAATTTCAGGAACAAGAAGCGAGGAGAAATGTTTATGCCAATATGGACGAAAAATGTGTTTGTCATTTTAATATATCCTTTATATATCTAATCCTCCGTCAATGAAAATCAAAGGATTCAAACCTCTTTCTGCAAACTGGAATTAATAATTTTCTTGTGTAGCAAATGGAGCTGGCTTTGAATTCATAACACATGAAAATGAGTTTTGATTCTCAGGAATTGATGGCACTGCACTTGGGCTTCTAATGCATCACCAGAAATTAGGAAAGTAAGCAGAAATTTTAGCTCCTGAATTCGTCTACTGGTAGATGTATTTGTTTTCTTAAATTAGTTTTAATTGAGGATTAGGATTTTGTTTTAATTTGGACTTCACACTTGTTGATCAGCTAGTTCTGTGCTGACTAATGTTTTCCTTAAATGAAATGAAGGATCTTTGACATTTGGTGCTTGCATATTCCAGTCAAGGACAGGACATCTTTTCCAGGTGTCCAATGATGAGTAGTTGTGGACTAAGTACATGTACGGTAAGATGTTTGTTAATACAAATTTTGGTTTTAGTTTTCTGTGTTTCTTATGGGATTCAGGCCTAGTGCAGCTTGTTGAAAGTACAGTTACGTCAGAGTACTCCAGGTCACCAAATAGACCAATATATCTAGTTGGGGAATCCCTTGGAGGATGCCTTGCTTTAGCTGTTTCAAACCGTAACCCGGATATTGATCTCCTACTTATCTTGTCTAACCTAGATAAGGACTAGATTTGTTGTAATTCTTTACAAACAGCCTTCCTTGACGTCATAATTATATTTTTGCAATATTAACAGGTGTGCTGTTATAATTTCCTTCCTAAAAGTTATAAATGGAATCAATTGCCAAACAATTGGTTTACCAAAACTGCTGTGCCTTTAGTAGATGTAGATCCTTCTTTGCAAAAATGCTTTACTTGCCTTTGTACCAAGCCAAAATGGCTGTCATTGTAGATGACATTCAGTTGGTCACTTTTAGTCTTTAGTGCTTTTGATCATATGTAATTCATGGTTTGAATTTTTGTATTCACAGCTACATCCTTTGGCAAGTCACAACTGAAACCTCTTCTACCTTTACTACAAAGCATTCCAGATGAATTCTTTCTTTTGGCAAGAAATTCCATGTTAACCTTAACCACAGGTTTGCTGCCTTGGTCTTCAACTTCTGTTTTCTTGGCTTGTTATTTGCATCTTAAGAGAAGTATGTCTTAAACGTAGGTGGCTATGATGTCTGGATTGTCATATTAATTGCAGTTTCTAACTTTTATAGTTGTCAATCATTTCTTTAGGTGACCATTTGAGGATGCTGATGGATAATGTAGTGAAGGGCATTCCTCTGGGACAATCTGTTGTTGGAAAGCTGTCACAGGATATTGTTGCTGCATCATCTAACCTCTCTGTAAATGCAAATCAGCATATATACCTCTTTTCCTGTGTTTTAGAGTGCATTACACATCTTTCTTTAGTTCATATTACGAAGAAATTCTGATTTTCATTTACATGCAGCAAATTGTAGAAAGATAAATGATGATTTTAAGTCACAGGTTCTGGTTGAAATCTTACCCAAAGAATTGCTCGAATGGAAGCTACAAAGGCTGAAATCTGCTTCTGCATATTCCAACTCTCGTCTCCATGCCACAAAAGCTGAAGTGCAATTACTTTGCAGGTAACTTGTTGATTTCACTTTCAGTTTTGAAGAGCTATTGATAAAATATTAAATGGCTTTGTCTAAACTTGAGGTTCTCCTATTTAGTGGCTAATGCACCAAACAGAAAAATGAAGTTAGGAAAACAAAATTATTGAAAGAAGCAGTCAACTGAAAATGGCAGAATCAAAGATTATAAACAAAGAAAGATTGAAAAATATTTCTTCATAACCTAAATGCATAATGC